TATACATCAAAATATATGCAAGCCTATTTAGCTGACAAAATATTTCTCCTTTTAGCTTTTTTTTTTTGTTTTTTTTTTCTTCTTTTTTTACATACAGAATATATTCATACACAAAACAAATATACAAATCAGATGATAACACAGCTATCTCACTTTCCAACACAAAATAAAATAATGAAGTGAATATCTGCAACCATTGCAATACCTATGATATGTTGACTTACATAGCACTATAAGTATATTGATCTAGGTACAATGCGCTCATCAGATCACCTTAACTGCATACGAAATTCAAAAGGCACATGAATCCAAAACATACATGGCTCAACAAAAGAATAGAAAAAAAAATCAATATTCCTTGATTATTTCACATTCTTTTAAACAGACAATTAAAACGAGCTCCAATTTGCATATACAACTCAAGGCAGAATAAAGGAAATGAAAATAACAATCTTTCTTTGTCTATGTCTGTCTAATGTATATACATTAATATATATCAATATATATATATATGTACAGTCAGTGTATCAGTCTGTTTCAGTCTGTCTGTGCATACACAGGTATGCGTATTATTGACCTAATCACAAGAGTTTCTATAGTAATTTACAATGATAAGAATGAGGTAGCAAAGAATTTGGCAGAATAAATTTAAGAGGGGGGGGGAGGGGGTGGTATACAGAAGAGGACAGGAAAAAAAGAGGATGAAAAGGGGAGAGAGAACGAAGGAAGGAAGAACATTGGAAGAAAGAGGGGAGGGGGAGGGGGAGGGAGGGGTAGGGAGGGGAGGGGAGGGGGAGGGTAGGGAGGGAAGGGGTTGGGGGAGGAGGTGGGAGGGGAAGGGGGTGGGGGGGGGAGGAGGGAGGAGGTAGGGTGGGGGGGGGAGGGGAAAGAGAAAGAGAAAAGAGGAAAGAAGTAAAGGATGTAAGGAATATTAATAAATAACAAGGTCACCAGAAGTTGAATATTTTAAGAAACCTAACCCTAAATAAAACAGGACAGCATGCATGACCTTTTTATTTTGGTAATGCATGCTTAGAAGCTAACCGTAAAGATCTCCAATTGTTTGTGTAAGTTACAGAATGGAGAAAAAATATATATAAATATATCTAAAGTCAATCAAGCAACAAATTTAATTACAGACCCAACATGTTTTTCTTTTTTTTTTCATTCTGGAAAATAAAATGAAAAATAAATACCGTAAGATGAAATACTAATAAGTTTTCATTTCACTCACAAATTATTCTTGCAAAGTGCAATACCAACATCCAGGTAGTGAGATTCCAGATACAGACGTGAGAGAGGAGAGGGAGAGGAGAGAGGAGAGAGGAGAGAGAGGAGAGAAGAGAGAGAGAGAGAAAGAGAAAGAAAGAGAGGGAGAGAGAGAACTGGGTTCCTGTTCTGGTTGCACTCCAATGCCATTTATCCAGGCTCGGCACATCTAGAATATGACCAACAAATATCCAAAACAAAATAACAATAAAGATAATAATAATAAAAACATTAAATAAACAAGCAAACAGTAGGGTCTGGCCAAAAAAATACTATAGATCTGGTCGCCCTAGTTACCCAGGGGGGATACTTCCCGACCTAAGCAGACGGTGAGGCTTGTGCAACCCCCGGCTCTAGGATATAAATCGGTGTGAAAGAAGGGTATCGTAGAATTCAAATGAACTGATTCTTGCAGTATTATAGTATTCTCTTACATTCAGCATCTAATAAAAACAAAAATACAGCCCCAAAAACCAAAATCCGCAACTCAAAAAAAAAAAGGCAAAATCAGAGCATTTAAAAGGCAATATATATTACTTATTCTCTCTTTCTTTTTTTTTTTTGCCTGAGAAGATAAAGGTAACCACAAAATCCTAATAAATAAAGCAGACACAAACAAAACACAAAAATCACAAAAAAATTGAGATTATTTCCTGAGATTTCAAAACATTTGGATCGACATTTAGTGTGAGACGACAAGTCAGATTTCTAATTCCTTGCATAGTAAAAGTGAACAGCATGGTTCCCTTGATAAAATATATTATACAACACACAAAACAATACAATATTACGTGAACTTACTTCTGTTCATATTTATACATGTCCCATATCAAAATATATAGAGGCAATTTGGTTGTGAAAGAAATTGTATTTGTGCCAAGACAAGAGTTGTATAAAAAACTGCATAGCAATAGTAGTTGTTGCTTATGTTGATATAGCTGCTAGTAGTTGTGTAGTAGTGTGTGTAGCGTAGTAAGTAGTAGTGGGTAGTAGTAGTTGTTAGTAGTAGTAGTTGTAAGTAGTATAGTAGTATAGTAGTAGTAGTTGTAGTAGTGAGTAGTAGTAGTAGTAGTAGTAGTAGTTGTAGTAGTAAGTAGTAGTAGTGTACAGTTGTAGTAGTACACTAGTAGTAAGTAGTAGTAGTAGTGGTTGTAGTAGTAGTAGTAGTTGTAGTAGTAGTAGTAAGTAGTAGTAGTAGTAGTAGTAGTAGCAGTAAGTAGTTATCATAAGT